TTTTTTTTTTTTTTTTTTTTGTTTTTCGGGAATTGTGAATTATGGCTTTGGTTAAATTAAATTCTGTGTTTTTTGGGAAATTTTGATGCCCCGGTTTGTTTTTTCTTGATTTGGTGGGGTGTTGATAAATTTTTTGCCGATGCTTTGAGAGGGGAGTTCGTTGTTGAAGTTGCATGCCAATTTGGAAACTTTGGTGGGTGAAAGGAATCTGATTTTGTTTTCTTCTTTTGGTGGCTTGTTCGTAATTTTCTGTTTGGGAATGTTGATGTCATGAGGTGGTGTATTATTGGAAATTTAGTTAGGGTGTTATGATTTATTAATTTTGTGTAATAATGGTTGTCGATTATATAGCTTTTCTTTATTTTAACTTTTTCCGCAATTATTTTGTGTGTGTGGCTTTGAATTGATGTCATAAATTGGTGTGTTTTTTTTAAATTTTGTTAGGGGGTTATGATTTAAAAATTTCGTCAAAATATATTTATTTACCAATTATTTTTGGCGGTTTCTTTTTGGGTAATGATTTTTATTTACAATTCAACAACGGGGAAGGAGGGACTTGGTCAAGATTTTGTTGACCGGCGAGCAACTACACAAGAATTGTGGTCACTGAATGAACTTTCTTTTTCTTCGTTTTCTTTGCTTGAGTGCAGTGGTTGCCATGAAAGCATTGAAAGACTCGCTCAGGGTTCCTGAAAGAATGGGTTGGAATGGAGATCCTTGTGCTCCTACTAATTGGGATGCTTGGGAGGGAGTTACATGCCGTATGAGCAAGGATAATACTGCTCTTGTGATAAGTCAAATGTACGCATTCTTTACCATTCTCCTAAGTTTTGCAATTCAGCTTCTAGTTGGTTGTGGGAAAGAAAATTATTGCTACGTGTACAAGGAGTCTTACTTAAAAAGTCTCTTAATATTTGACATTTGAATCTTTTTGTATAAGGTTAGTGGTGGGGTACATATCACATGCTAAATATACAGACTTGAAACTAGAGGGTGGGTGAGTCTAAACTGCTCATGATCTGTTATGGCCATATCATTGTATGAGAAAGACTTAGAGTCTGTTTGGGTAAACTTCTTCAAAAGCACTTATAGGAGAGAAAAATAGAAAAGAAAAATTAAATAAGCTTCTCCATAAGCTAAAATTAGCTTATGTATAAACTAATGTTTAGAAGCTCTCTCTTATTAGCTTTCAAAATCTTATTTTTAACTTATGCATAATCTAGTTTTAGCTGATTGAGAAGTTTATTTCAATTTTTCTTATTTTTTCTTTCTAGAAGTGTTTCTAGAGAAGCTTATTCAAATTAAACAAGCTTCCCTGTAAGTTAAAAATAGCTTATGCATAAGCTAATTTTTAGAGGTTCTCTTGTATTAGCTTTTCTAAAATCTTATTTTTAACTTGCACATAAACAAGTTTTAACTTGTTGAGAAATTTATTTCATATTTTTTCCTTCTAAAAGTGCTTTTGGAGAAACTTATCCATACAAACTATTATTCTATTTTTGTACAAAACTAAAAACAGAAGTTTCCCCTCATAAAATATTCTGTCATTGACCTTTTGGGCTTATCGATACTCCTTACCCTAAATAGCTTGGTAGGTAGGGGATTATGGGTTCAACTTATGCTCCCTGAAACTAGGAATAAAAATGGTGGAAGTTACAATTTGTTTCTTGTTCAGATAATTGTTTTTCTCCAACCATTTATGATTTATTTCCTCTCTTAAAGCTGTGACTTTATCCTTTCAATTTTCATTTCAGTGATTTGGGCAGTCAAGGCTTGAAAGGGTTCATAAGTGACCAGATTAGTCTTTTGTCAGACTTGGTAAGCCTGTAAGTATCAGCAGCCAAATGTTGAAAATATACTAATTGACCTAGGTGTATAAAATTTCCTGTTGTCTTAAGGTGCTCTGTAGTTTATTTGTTCAAAGCAGTAGTCATAGTCTGTAGTCGTTAGCTTGTTATGTTCAATTATATTTTGTATGGCTTATACTTGTTTCTTCCATGAGAACCTAGGTTGTCAAATTCAAAGAGTCTGTAATATTCTTGTCTATGGAGCTTCCAAAAAACTCAAACTCATAAATGTTTAACTAATACAAAATAATATTTAAAAGTAAAATGAGAAATGGTGTTCTTGTAAGTATTCCAAATCAACAATACCTTAATCTTTATCCTCACACCTTTAATGACTTACACTAGTCACTCTTTTTAACATGGACTTAAAAGAAAATATAGAAACAATAACACCAAAACCAAAAGAACAGAACACAAATAGAGCTTAACCGACATTCTGCAGTGGGACAAGAAAATATATTCAAACTTAATGTTGGGAAAATGCAGCAAACAGAACTGTGCTTAATTGCTCATCTTCCCAATAAAACAAGCACAATATAATGACGATTTTACCCAACAGAATACCATAGAACTTGAGCACAAATAGTACATGAACACAAATAGAACACATGGAAGCTAAGCAGAAATAGAACAAGTACAAAACTTGGTTATATTTGAAACTTGAAAGCACATAATAGAACAGATTTGCAGAAATGATTTGATCATGCATTTGGGTTCAAGAGTCATGTCCTTTGTAGACGACAGTTTGCTTCATCGTGAGTCTTGACCTGGATTTGCCAAATCACCATATGTAGAAAATGCTTTGATTGTGTGGCTAGGTTCACAAATGAATTACTGGTTTCATGAACAAACTGTCGAAGCCGTGATTGGGTGGCTTTCTGTGACACATGTGCGAGGGCTTCATTGAGTGCTTTGTGTTTTCCTTGAGCAGAAATGGTGTGTAGAAGGGGGCAACTAAAACATGGTTGCTTTGGGCAAATTTGTTGCAGATGTAGAATTTAATTCTCACAAGTCATATCTTACTGGTTGGCTTGGTGTTTTAACTTGCATTTCTGTGCATGTCTGAGTGAATTTGATTCCACTAATTCTACCAAGAAACAAGCTTGAGAGTGTGTCAACTCAATTTGCCTACCTAGAATTATAAACTCGTATAAACTTGTATAATTCTGCGAGATCAATTGCTAGTTTGACGGCTATCATTAGAACAATATGAATATTATTTATTTTCAATACAATCAGCCTTGGTACTTTCAACCAAACTTGTTTTCTTTGTTGCGGCTACATGTTTATATTCTGATAGGACACATCATGTTGACACAATCATGATATATGTTAACACCTTCCCTTCATTATACTTGATAAACGGACAACATTCTTAATCGATTCTGTTCTTAATCACTGATAAAATTTATTGAATATTCAGCCTTGTTTTGTTGTACATGCATTTTGGCTGGAATTTTGGATCTAGATGCCCATATACTTCTGTAGTAGATTGTTTATGCTTTCAGTATGTGTTTCCCTAGACAAACTTAGTCATGTATGTTTATATTGGTTTATATCATTGAGTAACTTCTCTTTAATTTTTCAGGAACTTGAGTTCTAATTTGTTGGTCGGTGATATACCTTTGGGACTCGGGCAGAAATCCCTTATACACCTGTAAGTTTTGAGTTTTTGTTTTTCTAAATGTATGCAAACTATTTTACAGAACTCAATTGACTGGAGTCCTTTGTTTGATTTTTTATACTAGTTTCCAAGTTATTTACCCCACTTAAAATCCATATTTTGCAAGATATTTCTTTCATTTAATTTTGCTACTTAACTGAATATTGAAGAGAAAATGTCCAATATTTTTCCAGAAGGTATTGATCATTAAAACTGGCTTGTAAAATGAAAGTTATCCCTCACTTTAGGCCTTAGAAAGGGGGTCTGGGCCTAACTCAACCCTATAAAATATTAAAAACTGGCTTGTAAGGTGAAGGTTGCCCCTCACTTATAAACCTTGTTTTCCTTATTTCTAGTCAATGTTGAACTTGAATTTTTCCCAATAGTATGAAATCTCATGTTTAGAAACATCGGTATTGATCATTCACTGATAATTAAATGCCATCTGTTTTGTCCTTTTAAGAACCAATTTGATGCCACTGTAAGGTACAATTTGATAGCATAAATTGAAATTGAATGACCGATATGTTGCATTATTCATTTATAAATGAAGGACCAAAATGGACTTGTACTGGAATATTATCATGTATCTGTATAATATGTTTTTCTTGCATAGGTACCTTGTTCCAAGTTCCAACAAATAATTCATTTTTCTAAATTTTAAACATTTTTTTATTCCAAACACAAGAAAAAATAATTTTTCATTCCTATTATTTCTATTAGATAGAATATATTTTATAGAAATAATAGGAAAAAAGATCTATTAAATCATGTCTTCTTGTATCAAATATATTTTTTTATTCCAAACACAAGAAACATATTTTGTTGCCACTTAGAATAATGCCAACAAAGTGTATATAAGTAGGGAGTAATTCTCTCCTTACAAACCGGTTTTGTAGGATTGAGTTAGACTCATAACCTACTATTCTAAGATGGTAATAAAGCTACTCTAGATCCATCAAAAGCGCCACCCACCATTGAGGTGTATTGGAAAAATCTTAAGTTCCTCATTGACTAAAGATTAGACAAACAAAAAGTTTATAAATGGGAGACAACCCTTAACCTTACAACCCAATTTTTTAAGGTTAAGTTAGATTCACAATTAGGATTGAACCAACTCGAAAATAGTTTGATTTGATAATTAACACATTGAACTTGGTTTATGAATCAAATGAGCTGAACTTAAGTCAATGATTGAGCTCAATAAATAAATGAACCGAACTTGAGTTGCGTATAGTTCGACTCGTTTAGTTCATGAATCGGCTTGACATAAATATATAACTAACATTCTATTTAATTTCAACTTATTAAAATTTAAAAGAACTTTCAAAATTTAGTTATAAGTTAATAATAATAAAAGAAGTGAACACTTTAAAATTTAATGATTATGGATTGGATTTTCTATTATTTATGCAAGGTGTAGTTTTAATTTATATAGACTTCAGTTGTAATTATGTTTCTTTATAGTTGTATCTTGTAATCTTGAAAAGTTAATAGAATAAGTTATGTTTTGTTTTTTAAAAAAATAAACAACCAATTTATTTAAAATCTATTATTATATTGAAAATTTGAAATGTATAAGATTAAAAAAAAATTAATTTTTGCTTCATGTGATTTGAGCTAACGAGCTAAGCTGAGTTGCTAGTGAGTTTGAACTAAGTTGAGTTCGAGCTAGAAAAAAGGTTCACGTCGAACTTGAGTCGAGTTGTAAGTTGAGCCAAATGTTGTCGGCCGAGCTGAGTAGAATCGAGTTCGACTCAGCTTGACTTATTTCCAACCCTACTCATTACCCACATTCTTAAGAGATGCATACTATATTTTTCCAGCAAATAATGTATGTGAGAACTGAGAAAGAAACAAGAAACTTCTACTTACAGTTTTTTTCTTATTTAAGAAAGGAATTCATTACAATGTTAAATAATCTTGCTATGAATAAACAAAATATAGTAAACAAAAAATATTCAAATTTCTTATCTTGATCTGCAAAAAGTTCTACTTTGGAGGGTTTTTTTAATCTGAAAGAAAGAAAAATAGAATAAAGAAGACAATGCAACATGTAAAATAGAATATTTTTTTAATTTTTATTTCATTTGAGTATTTGACGAACAATATTCAAGAACAAGGTTATTTGGTGAAGGAGAGGATAATGTTTGAGAATCAGCTGTAGATGGAGTGACAAAGGGGATCATTTCTTTATGATTCATGCCATAGGATTTTTAGGAATAGAAAGGAAAATCCACATGCTAAATTATGGAGTCAAGTAATAATGTTATAAGTTTTTTATTAAAAGAATATTTTGTGTAAATATTATTAGTAAGCTGTTGATCTATATTATTAATTAATCTAATGTTACTTATTTAATATTTTACTTGTTTTCTTTGACAAACGCTGTAGGGACTTGTCCAGCAATCAGTTAACAGGCTCCATACCAGATAGTATAGCCTCTTCAGGTTTGCAGCTCGTGTAAGTATCTACTGCATTATATTTAGGATTTTGTTAACAGGTGCCTTTAGGACACAAGTAAGGATTAGAAAATAGAAACTATTAAATGAAAATCATAAACATTTTGTTGTGATTCAGGAATTGTGTGTATTGTTGTACACATACCAATCTTATTTATAGAGTGAATACAATAAATGATAGAGATACTAATCTCTAATATTATGGAAACTAATCTAATCATATCCCTAATTGATAGTGAGGATAATAACCATAATATATGTATCCACAATATCTGTAATATATTCACAATATCTGTAACACTCCCTCTCAAGCTGGAGCATATATATCATATGCACCAAGCTTGTTACAAATGTAATCAATCCGAGGTTCTTTAAGCGATTTTGTGAACACATCTGCTAACTGGTCATCGGAGGCGGTTGGAGGCGGCGATCGGAGGCGACGACCGGAAGCGGCGGTCGAAGGCGACGACCAGAGGCAGTGGCCGGAGGCGACTATCGAAGGCGGCGGTCGGAGTGGGCGACCGGAAGCGGCGGTCGGAGACGGCTATCGAAAGCGGCGGTCGAAGTCGGCGAACGAAGGCGGCGGTCGGAGTCAGTGACCGGAGGCGACGACCGGAAGTGGCGGTC